TCTCATACAACACGACATAAATCGCCCATGAGCGCTCTTCAACAGAATAAATGATGTTTTCAGATAGAAATCGTTGAACTCTATCGATGTCACATCTATCTAGCTTGACTCCATCGTAGTTTTGATGACAAAACTACTAATTAATCCTTTACTTATGTATAATGTAGAGAGAAAATTAGCCATTGGTTCGCTTCTTTCGGTCAATCAACGTAAGACAACAAAAGATAGCGTAATTCTTTTGTTAGCAACATCGTCATGCAATCGATCAGATATATGTGGCGGAAACAAAAGAACCTAGTGACTCATTTCTTTTGATCAATAATGAACAGACAACGAAAAACTTTGTCCTCCAACTCGATGACATCGAAAAAAACAAAGGCATTTATTGACTTTTCTGTTTCAGCCAACAAGTTTAACAGATAGAAAGATGTCGCGCATTCCATTGCGATTGAAAGCAGTTATCAAAGTCACTGCTCTTAGATATGTTAAAAAATATGAATTCGAAAGAAACACTGTTGAAGATTGACGACATCATCTACATTAATCGATCTAGTAATTGGTAGAACACATCAAAGAGCGCAGGTATCGCGATGTTTCTTATCTGCAGATCCGTTCTTCATTTCATAATTTAATATGTTAGGATGTACGAGATTTATAATATTGATAAATGAATATTCTGAATTAGTGACGACAGAGCGTAATACGAACAAACTGACACGCTAATCAGGTTCTGTACAAATGATTCAAGGCTATTTATTGCTGTTTGTAGTCTATATTTGATTAATTCAATGATATAAAGAAACAAGTAGAGGTGTAAGCCGATAGGCTGATCGGCGGCGGCGCCAGTTTTTTAAAATTTTTTAAAAATGCTCGGCGGCGCAGATATGATATTCTAAGGTTGCACAGCGGTGGCGGCTCGAAAATTTTAAAATTTCGAATACCATCGGCGGCGCGGCGGCTGTAATTAAAGTGTCTCAGCGGCGGCGGCTTGAAGTTTAAAAAGTACTACATTATCATAAAAATATTAGTCTATGGCCTTGTCTACACTAGGAATATAATGTAGTATCAAATTCGTGTTACATCAATTCGTGTCTACATTTGACAGTTAACGCATCAATCAGAATCCTAGACGTCGAAATGAATCGTGGTTTTTGTTCACTTCAATCATAGAGGACTCTTCCATTGAAAATTGTGTCAGTCTCATTAGAAAATCGAATCAGACATTGATTGGTGCATCAAATTCAATGTTGTTCTGAAATGTGCAATAAATTTAATGCACTTTTTAAAAGTGTTTTAAATATTTACTAATTGTTCAACCAATCATGTTTCTTAATTCAGCGTCAAAATTTTTAGTGTAGACAAGGCCTATTTCAATATCTTGGCCTTTTTATTTTCAAACACATATGTGGAAAAACTTTATTTCACATCTAGACATAATAAAAAAGTCTATAATTAAAAATAAATATAAGTGTCAGAATAAATAATAAATGAGAAATCACCACCACGATTGTTAATAAGTAAAAGCACTTAGCATACTCAAGTTTGTTGTTTTTATTTTGTTTTTGTTAATTAAAATTTAAAATGCTCGTCTCTTCTTGTATTTCTAAATATATCTAATATAAGAGACATAAACTAAAATGATAACTTAGAATTTTCAACCAACACAGAATTAAGGGTTCATTCACAATTTAGAACCCCAAGCATCTGATTGGTCAGAGAACCAGCATGAAAATGAAGGTGAAGGCGAGAAAGTTAATGAAAAAGAGATATATTGGGGTTCTAAGATGTAAAAGTATCGAATTAAGGAAAATATAAATGAAATGTTATCGATATTTACAATAGTTGCCGGCGGCGGCGGCTCGATAATTTTAAAATTTCGAATACTATCGGCGGCGCGGCGGCTGTAATTAAAGTGCCTCAGCGGCGACGGCTTAAAAATTTCTAAAATTTCTACTGTCATGGCAGCAGCGGCTTAAAATTTTTCGAGTTTATCGGCGGCGACGACGGCTCAGCCGCATGGCTTACACCTCTAATCACAACCACTATCGTCTATAAATATGAAAACATCTTGTATGCAACCGATTCACTCATTAACGGATAGATATCTATTGGCATTAGATATATTTCCGAACGATACTTATTGGTGTTTTATGTTCTATATCACTCTATGTATTAGATACAATATCGGGTCAGTGGAGTCGTGGTAAGTTAGGTATGGGTGAGGGTTTGTGAGGTGTTTGGATGGAAGAAATCAAATCTACATTCACCACACCCACGCCCATACTCCATATCCCACATTCATACCCACACACCATATTTTCAATGAAACATATAAAGCATTAAGTGTTATATGTATTCTGATAGCTTTCAATCGGGACTACAAAATTGACTGCAAAATATTGTGGTTTTGTAAGTATCTTGACAATATTATGCTTTCATGTATGTAGCGCCCTAACCAATTATAGTATGTATTTTTGTGCCAAAGGAAACGTTTGGAAAAATGGAATTTGGGAGCATAGTCATATATAGGGTTTTGTAGAGAATCACTTGCTCTACAATATGCACTAGATACGAGTTCTACCGTTTTTGAGTTCATAAAATAGAAAACAGAGAAAGATGAAAAGTTGCATTTTTTTCATATATAAGAGTTAATGGATAAATGCCACACTGGTGTTTACTCAATCGATGTTATCAGATTTTCTGCAAGTTGAGGTATGCTGTAGAGAGAAGAGTTTTAACACTTTTAACGAAAGCCGTTTTAAAAATACTGTTCAGTTCTGGAGATATTCAAATAATATCTTTCCTTGCATATAAAAACCTCTGAGGAAAATGACGAAAATGTATAATAATGAATTTCGTTGCTGAAAGACTATGTATGCAAACCTCTTTTGTGCATTTCAATGTTTCAAATAAGCTTATTGATGGACAAAATATGATGTTAAACAACATCAAACGGCCGAAAATATTTTCTCATTAGTGATACTGATTCATCTAGAGATACACAAGAGATAATTCTACTTAAAAACATTGATTCTGTAAAAAAAAAAAGGAGAATATCATAAAAGACCTGCAGTTTGTAAGCTTTTAGAGCTATTCTCTGTTTCGTTTTTTTTCCTCTAACAAAATTATACAATATTCAAAAATCTCTTTATAATTATTTTATGGGAGTTCTATAGATCTCTTCAATTTTAAACTGCTATTCCGCTTATACAACTTTCATAAATATGAGTATTATGTTTGTATTAGAAAATATAACTCATGATGCAAAAACTCATTTATAAAACGGAATATGCTTTATTACAATAAACATACATGTATTTTATTCATCTTGAACTGAGACGACTGTTTCAAGATAAATTGATAGCATGTAAATAGATTAGAATGAAAGAAGATAACAATAAATACGAACGTAATATGAGTCAAGACAAGACCATTGTTGACCATATTAAATATTGCCATACAAATGATAATATTTATCTTAATATCTAATAATGAAAAATTGTTTTTATTTCGTGTAAATATCAAAAGCTAATCAATGGCATGAAATCTTTTAAGTTCAGTAAGTGTTTTACATTCACTTATGAATTCTAGTAAGAGAGAAACGACAGATTTTAGAAACGATGTAAATTTCAAACCATTAAAATCACAAAAGTCGCAGAGTCACCCCAATTCAAAGAATATGGGACAATTCAGGCAGGAAAACACTGCAAATTAATGAAACTTAAAGGTAGTATTCCGAGTCGGAAAGTCTCCGGAATATTCTGATAACTTCTAGCAAACTTTCTGCTATTTCAAGCGGAAAACGGCTGAAAACCCTCTCACTCAGACATTACAAAGAATATTTTTGTTCCTATCGAAAAATGTAAGACGTAAAATGCTTAGTTATGTTTAATAAAGGAATCATAACTTTGCATGATACCGCTGAATTTCGAACTATTTTCTTTTCAATTAATAGCTTTAATCTTTCTCTACAAAACTGTGCATTTCAATCAACTATCTACAAATATATTTTGTATAAATAAAATCAATTTACAAAGAGAAGACGAAAGTTTTGGATCATTCTTTATGATGACAAGCTTTCTAAAAAAACCGGCCATGTTAGTTTTCAGATTCCGGAAGCTACGTTTTTTAACAATGCTGTTTTAAATAGCATAAAACAAGGAGTCGCCGCATTTTCTATAACTTTTTAAAGGAAAGTTATAGAAAATGCGGCGACCCTTTTAAAACTAGCATTGTCAAAAAATAGTATCTGGAATTTGCTAATTACCGAGTTCGTTTTTTTTTAGAAACCTTTCCATCATAGTTTATTTAGTATAGAATACATTATATACAAAAACTCCATTGGCCATTAAAATCACTCTTCAGATTTAAGACTTAACATAATAGAAAAATATCAAAAACATGTCGTTGTTAAGGTCTTTTCCATCACTTTAGTACCAAGAGAATTATTCATGGGCCGACTCAATGACTGTAAAGTAACGTCATCTATATTGATGCACATCTGGAATAATAATTGTGTTGTCATTTTCTTATTCATTCCTATAGAACTAACAATGATAAAACAAATAAGAATTTTCTACAATCGATGACTAAATGCATATACTCTATATGCTTACTCATCATGACGTTTCACTTTTTTTTTTTTTATCGTATTTCTGTTAGTGTACGATATAGTCATTTATTTATTTGATTAATGAGTGTGACTTGTCTAGGCTACACTTTTTTGTTGTACTAAACAAAATTATCTTGTCGGAAAAAACACATATTTTATAAAACAAAGAAGTTTCTCGATTAATATTAAAAGAAAAAGAACAATATTTATTTTCTTCTGTTTCTTTTTCTTCCTAAAGCTTTGGCAGTAGCTGATAGGTTGAATATATTTATTAAAAAAACAACATGATTCACGCTCAAACTCAATCTTTTTTGTGCACACAAACATATTCACCTTGCATCGTTTGTATGTTACTTGTGCAATCATGGTCATTCATTCGATTATATAAATGCAAGAGGTAAGTTTTATTAATATATATATGAGAATCTAAAAATTAAATTGTCTGTTTTGATAGTCAAAAAAGAATATTCTCTTTAGATGACAATAGCCAGTCGAATTGTAAATTTTGTTCTTTACTTCCTATGCTCATCTATCGAAGTACATTAAATATTTTACCTTGGGAAAAAAACAACTCGTGTCGTTCAAGCTTTATTACAAGTAAGTTGGAAGAAATAAAGAAAATTTTTATTTAAACTTTATTTCTTTTTCATAGGAAGCAGTATATTTATATATGATAATGTCGACGAAAAAAAAAACAAATGATAACATAAGATTTTGAATTCACAATATTTAGATGTAAAACATCGACATAACTGAAGAAAATAATGTTAATTCATTTTTTGTTCTCATAGGTCAAATTGAAGTTTTCTATTTAAAACCGTAACAACTATCGGTTTAAATTATCGTGAAGTTCAATCTAACGAAATATCATCCGTACAAGTTGGTTGAATTGTTGCTGTATCAAAGGCAAAATTACTTTTAGATGTTTCTATACAAGGTAAATTTATTTTTTAGTAGATTCGAAAAAAACATGTTAAGAATTTTTGTTTTAGCTCATTGACTGGTTATTAATGACCAAAAGTCAACAATAAATGATATCATTGCAGATTTCCTTGATTGTGTAAGTTTAAAGAATCCATTTATTCAATAATATTTATAGATGAAAGCATTGACAAAAAAAAACCGGTACAATCTTCATTCATGAAAAATTAAAATTTCTAATGAATTTCTTTTATTCAATCTATCAATATCATGCCTTTTCTTATTCTGCATAGTTCTGTGTTTTTATTTATTTCGTTTTTCTTTTTGTGAATGCAAAAAAAATATTATTTCGAAGATTGAATAGTCTTAGGAGATCCATCATTTGTCTGATGATAACTATGATTTTGTACTCTAAATATAAAAATAATACTATAGATGGACGTAGTTTTGCGTACTATACAAAATGACGTAATAATCATATGCAGGATAAGACATGTGCGATATCGCACGTGACTGACCCTGCATAAACTAATTAATAAACATGATTATTACGTCATTCTGTAGAGCAGAAAAAACTACGTCAATCTACATTATTAGTTTTCATATTTAGAGTGTATCATCCAAAAATGGTAGGTCTCCTGAGATTATTTAGTTTTCGAAAAAAATTTGTTTTTGCATTCACAATAAATAAATAAATAGACAGAAATGTGGAGGATTTTATGTCTTATCTTTCTAAAATATTGAAAGTAAAGTGTAAGAGAAAAAAAAAACAGATTTATGCTCTAGTCCATTTCATTAAATTTCAATTTATAGAACTAAAAATTTTTTTTTTTGAAAACAACTCAAATGAAATCTCACATACTGCAATTTCCTAATTGGAAAGCGAAACTGTTTTCAATCATACTGCGTGTATATGTGAGAGACATTATTCTAAGAAAAAAAAATCCTAAAAAGATTTGAATTAATTTGACTTCTTTCGATAGATATAAATACGTCCACTTCTAGAAGTCATGGCAAATAACACGAAAAAAAAATATTTATTTTCATTGAAACTTTCAATATATTTCTAAAAAATAAAATTTCAGATCGAAATTCTTTATTTCAATTTTTTCTCGAAAAAAATCTGTCTATAAGTTTATACTCATTATATTGAGTTGTAACTTATGAAAAAATAAGAACGGTTCTTATAGAATTAATATATTTATATCTATTAAAAGAAGCTTCATCCTTTTTAGGGCTTTTTTTAGAATAAGGGCACCATATGCATGTCAAATATCATCAAAAAGGGCGTAAATCTGTTGGAGACCTTTCTGTGTAAGAGAGAGCACTTACAAGTATCTGTAGAAATTTTTCTAGTCCGATATTTAGCACAATCAAATGACAGATATCTTAAATTTTACAATGTGACACATACCGGAAAGCTTGATGACTTTCAAGATAGAAAATTCAACATAATTTGATAAAAGTCCGTTTTTTTTTAAAATTTAGAATCAACAAATCTATTATAAAGAAATAATAGGAGTATGTGTTGATTCTAAAGAACAAAAAATAAAAACATCAAGTATATTTGTTAATTTTTGTTTTTTTATTCTAATCTAATACTTTTTCTTTCTTAGGAATCTTTTACTTGTCTTGCTCTTGAAACTGATATTGCTTCGTTTTATTTTGTTTTTATTAGAAGATAATTTAATAAAAAATAATTCAACTATTTTTATTTATCTTATACAAATGATAAATTCATTATTAGAAAATACATCGTTACATTGTAAAAAGAAAAAAAGTCAAAAACGAATTTTTTTATATAAATTTTACAGTTTTCTATTTTATTAGCTTCATTAACAATTTTCAACTATTATGCCATGTATTGTACAAATATGTTTATGTACATTACATTTAACACTTGTTACTTATTATGATACACTTATAGATTTTTGTGAAAAAGAATTTATATTTCGAATAATACTAATACTTGATGATCAAATTATTAACTTACATGAAGATTCATCCAATACTAAAATTTGATAATATCAATATGTATTATTACTGTAAGTATTGATTTGAATAATTTCTTTTTTATAATATAGAAGTACGTAGGATTAGTTTCTCATATTTCTTACTCATCACTTGCTAGATTCGAATATGATAAATATGATTTTAGTAGTTTTATTAATATTGTTTATAATATCTATATAATAATATTTTACGAATAAATACATTTACATCCTACGTAAAATGAATATTCAGTCACACTTGAATGGTTATTGTATATTTATATTGAATCATCAATTACTAATTTGAATCTAAGATAAAGAGTATAAAAGGATGATAGAGAGAAACATAGTTAATCAAACAAAAATCTCATGTCTGAAAGTAAAATCGAAATGATGAATTATTCAACAAACACTGCCGAACATCTTACATCACCAATATCGATTCATGATGAAAGTATTCATTCAATAAACAATACTGAACTCTTATCTGGCATGCAATATCCATACGATGAATGTCAATCATATATTAATAATATTACACATAGTCCATTGATCAATAGGAGAGGAAGTTTTCAACATTCATCATCAACGAATGCTATGGATCTATTAGCTCATCAAACAATTTTACCAAATATACATCAATATCCAATCAATCAAGATCTAAATCCTGAACATATTCATCGTCCTACTAATGAACATATAACTTATCGACAAGATGTAGCTATACGTTATTTACAACCCCCTACTCCACCACCACCAGGTCCTGTTGTTATTCGTGAAATTCGTGCTCCTGCACCTCCCGAAGCTCCTCCGTTGGTTATACGCCAACGTCCTAATGCTCCATTAACTCCACCACCAGTGGTAATTCGTGAACATCCACCATTACCACCTCCTATTGTACCACCCCATACTGTTAATAAAGTTTTACCCCCACCTCCACCACTTCCACGAAAAGTAATTATCGAACGACAAGCACCATTACCACAAAAACCTCAATCTGTTATTATTGAAAAATGGCTTCCTTATAGACCACCTCCGGATCGACGTGTAGTCGTCGAACGAGCTCCACCAATCATGCCAAGACCAATACAAAAAAATACAATTATTACATATGATGCTCCTCATGTTGATCTTGTTAAAAATGTTCATCATCTTGGAGTTGTTCGTGCAGATCCACATCTGTATATGGTACAATATGGTTCACATCTAGCATCAAATGAATATGTTCGACATACAATGGAAAAATTTTGTCTTGGAAATAATTATATGCAAATGATTCAAATGCAAACAACACCACATTTACCATTAATGAATAGTAATCATTTACAAACAAATTATGCTCATATTAATAGACAACAATCAATGACTGTTGGAGGACAAAATACATCAAATATATATCATGTACAAGATGAAAATCTTGAAGAAACAATTTTACCTAATCAACTTCATTCAAGTCTTGATGGTTTAAATAATACAGAAATTTTACAATAAGAAAATATTTATAATTAAGACTAATTTTCTTTTTCTTTGTTTTTTTTTTTGTTTACTTATAAGAAAATAATATTTTTCTTATATATTTACACGAAATAAGTTTAAATAAGCGTTGATTTTAATTATAAGGCTTCGCTATATATTTCTTAAATAAACCAGGATATTTTCATCATAGAAAACAACGCGAATTCATAGTTCAGAAATGTGTTTTAAAATATTTTTTATTTGAAAATGTTTGTATACAAATTGTTCTCTTCTTTATTTAGAATCGTCGACTTTCACTTTCATTTTGATTATGAAAGTTTCCATCTGATCAAGTATTTCTATTAGATTCAGCAAAACTTACTCATACAATAAATTTTTCAATTTCAAAATAATATCATATTTTTATTAACATCAATTAAATAGTCATAAAAATATTATTTAACGATATTTTCTCTATCGTTATTCATTTTTACACATAGATTTTATATTTCTAGATTTTATATAAAGTTTTTCATTTCATTGAAAAAAAAACAAACATAAATGGCTAGACCTGTTGAACCTAAAGATGATAGATTGGCAACAGCAATATTAGATCGAAAAAAACGTCCAAATCGTTTAATCATTGCTGATGCTGTCAATGATGATAATAGTGTTGTTGCATTATCACAACAAAAAATGGATGAATTACAATTATTTCGTGGTGATACTGTTTTACTTAAAGGTAAAAAACGTCGTGAAACAATATGTATTGTCCTAGCTGATGATACTTGTCCAAATGATCATATACGAATGAATCGTGTTGTACGAAATAATTTACGTGTACGATCCGGTGATATTGTTTCAATTCAAGCATGCCAAGATGTTAAATATGGTAAACGTATACATGTTTTACCTATTGATGATACAGTTCAAGGCATAACAGGAAATTTATTTGAAGTTTATTTAAAACCATATTTTGTTGAAGCATATCGACCAGTTAAAAAAGGTGATGTTTTTATTGTACGTGCAGCTATGCGTGCTGTAGAATTTAAAGTAATTGAAACTGATCCAGCACCATATTGTATTGTTGCACCAGATACAGTTATACATTGTGAAGGTGATCCAATAAAACGTGAAGAAGAAGAAGCATCTTTAAATGAAATTGGTTATGATGATATTGGCGGTTGTAGAAAACAATTAGCACAAATTAAAGAAATGGTTGAATTACCATTAAGACATCCACAATTATTTAAGACTATTGGTGTTAAACCACCAAGAGGTATTCTTTTATATGGACCACCGGGTACAGGTATGATCAAACAAAAAACAAAAAAGAAAATTTTAATGTCAATAAAATTAATTATGAATTATATAATTTAGGTAAAACTTTAATTGCACGTGCTGTAGCCAATGAAACAGGTGCATTCTTCTTTTTAATCAATGGACCGGAAATTATGTCGAAATTAGCTGGTGAATCAGAATCAAATTTACGAAAAGCTTTTGAAGAAGCTGAAAAGGTAAAAATAAAACGAGATTAACTCTTCAAAAGATAAACAAATATTGTAAAGAACCCTATTGGATAAGATGATCATTCTTCTCATCAGTATACTAATTGTTCGTCCTCGAAATTGAAGTGCGTCAAAGTCAAATTAGGCAATCAATGCCTCAAAAAGTACCAATTATTTGATTCCTCAGGGGTAGAGAAGCACATGAATTCACAATAAATATATTTTGAGTAAATAAATCTTGTATCTATTAATAATAAGGTCATCGTATTCTATAGACCTTCTGAAAATGTACAAAAAAAAAAAATTTTCGCTTTCGGACTCTTGTAGAGAGTTACGAGGATATACAAAATTTGACCGAATATGTATTGAAGCTAATAAAGCTCTATACTGTAATCATACTTGGCTACTCGGAATCTACATTTGTAAAGAACAAAATAATATTTCTGATAGCCCATTCTCGTATCAGTCTTTAGGGGTTTGAAACCGAAATTTCTTTCACCACTTTCGAAATATTCATATATCTCAAATGATATAACATGATAAACTTATTATTAATAGATAGAAGAAGAAAGTTATTATGAGTATTATTAGATATACACGATTGAAAATGAGACAAAATTCTATCGAAGTTATATTAAATGAAATTTGATATAGATTGGTTTAGAGTCATACAGAGTCTTCATATTTATTCATATCATTCACAATTGCTATGATATTCCTTAATTGATATATGGTGTTTCTAAGAACCTTAAACACGTTCGATGCATTATGAATTACTCTACAAAACTACATATTTCTAAATTATCATTGAAATTATTCTATTTGATTATAAAAATTTACTTTTACTTATTTAGAATTCTCCAGCTATTATTTTCATTGATGAACTTGATGCTATTGCACCAAAACGTGAAAAAACTCATGGTGAAGTTGAGCGTCGTATTGTTTCACAATTATTAACATTAATGGATGGTCTTAAACAACGTTCACATGTTATTGTTATGGCAGCAACAAATCGACCAAATTCAATTGATCCAGCACTTCGTCGTTTTGGTCGTTTTGATCGTGAAGTTGATATTAGTATACCAGATGCTGTTGGTCGTTTAGAAATTCTTCGTATACATACAAAAAATATGAAATTAGGAGACGATGTTGATCTTGTACAAATTGGTAATGAAACACATGGTTATGTTGGTGCTGATTTAGCATCATTATGTTCAGAAGCAGCATTACAACAAATTCGTGAAAAAATGGATGTTATTGATTTAGAAGAAGATACAATTGATGCTGAAGTTCTTGATTCATTAGCAGTTACACAAGATAATTTTCGTTTTGCACTTAATCAATCAAATCCATCAGCTTTACGTGAAACTGTTGTTGAAGTACCAACAACAACATGGGAAGATATTGGTGGTTTAGAAAATGTTAAACGTGAATTACAAGAACTTGTTCAATATCCAGTTGAACATCCAGAAAAATTCCTCAAATTTGGTATGACACCATCACGTGGTGTACTCTTTTATGGACCACCGGGTTGTGGTATGTTAAGATATATATACTTTTTTTTAACCTGTTTTGCTGTTAATATTGAATTTTTAGGTAAAACATTATTAGCAAAAGCTATTGCTAATGAATGTCAAGCAAACTTCATTTCAGTTAAAGGTCCTGAATTATTAACAATGTGGTTTGGTGAATCAGAAGCTAATGTACGTGATGTTTTCGATAAAGCTCGTCAAGCTGCACCATGTGTACTCTTCTTTGATGAATTAGATTCAATTGGTAAGAAAGCAAAAAAATAAAATAAAAGACACAAATAATAATCATAGAATTTATTTTTTAGCTAAATCTCGAGGTGGTAGTGTTGGTGATGGTGGTGGTGCTGCTGATCGTGTTATCAATCAAATTTTAACTGAGATGGATGGTATGGGTGCCAAAAAGAATGTTTTTATTATAGGTGCCACAAAT